CTGACACTAGGGAATAGAGCAACAGCTGAACAGGAATAGGCATGAGATCTTTAATAGGAGAGACACCAAACTTGCTCCTGAGGTCCATACCCGTACCAGGCACCTCCAGTAGCCATCCAGTTTCTATTGTTCTCCTCCTCAATCTATTCCTGACCCTTGGTTGGGTATTCAGAATGAGGTTGCAATTAGGATTATGTACCCATGGAAGCAATTGTGCATTTTTTTCCACTGAACAAGAAATGTAGCACATTTGGTGTGCTAGGAGGACCGGTGAGTTCCAAAGTTTGATGATTTATCATTTTGCAGCTACTAATATGTGTATGGTAGCAATTCTGACTAAAGGAGGGAAAAAGGCTAGTTTAGGAAAAACTGCGGTACAGTACAGGACATTAACAGTATGGAGTTGAAATGTTGTTCTTGGGCTTACATGGGTTTCCTCTAAAGAGTGTCCATGTAGGTCTTGACCCCCAATCTTGTGATTGCATCTAATGTGTTCCACTGGGGGTTCCATGAACAGAGTAAAGATAATGGGGTAGAAAGCAGACCCCTGATGTGTACCATTAGGAATAAAGAATTTTGATGATAGCATATCTTCAGTATAAACCTTAGCAGAGGGACAAGAATACAGTGACATAATAATGGATAGTATCTACCCCGAGAAACCAAACTTTGAAAGGACCACCTTTAGAAATTACCAATGTACCCTATAAAATGCCTTTTCTGCATCTAGTGATAGAAGTAGAGAAGGTAGTTTCTGGAGATTGCTGTATTTGATAAGGTTAAAAAGCCTTCTGGTACTGTTCAATGATTGTCTCTCTTTTATTATACCTACTTGGTCTGGTGCAATTAGTTCAGAGAGTACGTGTAACATTCATTGAGTAAGAACTCTAACATAGATCTTTAAATCTGAATTGAGAAGTGAAATAGGTCTATAATTGTCTGAGGAAAGAGGGTCTTTATCAATCTTTGGGATGGTCACCACTCTGATGACCACTCTGATATAGCAGATATTAATTCAACTGTCTGTTGAATCCAAATTTTCAGTAAAAATGCATTAGAATTAATTTTAGTGGACACAAACAAAACAGAATACCCATTTAATTGTAAAATATAAAAGATTAGGTTGTGTTAAGTAAAGAGATACCAAACATGTCCAGCCCCATAGCTGTCCTTTTTAAAAGCTTTTACAGGTCATCAGATTACAGTTAACAATTAATTATGGTCCTAAAATAATTGTCCTTACTCCATCGTGTTCAATGATAGCTAACATGTGTGGCTCAATCGTCATTTTCATACATAGGGGCTTTAAGAAAATGTGTTTTTTTTCCTGAATGTTATTTAACTGTATTTATTGTTTTTACACTTCAGTTATTGTGATCACATGGACTGATAGCCCCCTATAGTCAGTGGGGTCGCTACAGGGGGGCAAGGAGGGGCCCCCTAGGTTATCACTTTCCCCCCCCCCGTGTACCCAGGGGCGTAGATAAGGGGGGGGATAGGGGGGTCCAAACCCCCCCAGAGGGTCCTGGCCAGGGCCGGACTGGCCATAGGGCATACCGGGCACTTGCCCGGTGGGCCGAACACAATCTCCCTGATTGTGTTCGGGCCGGCTCAGCTCAGCCCGCTATGTCCGATGCCCAGCTCTGACAGCTCGAGTGATAAAAGAGCACAGAGCGACCAGGCTGAACACAGAGCAGGGCTGCCCCGCCCCCATCACCAGCCGACATTAGCCTGAGCCAGGGGGGGACTGTGTGCAGGACACCACACTGTGAACGAAGATCACAGGATACGGAGTGTGAGCTGACAGGGGGGAGGAGGTTAACCATTGCTGTGCCAGTAAGTTGCTTTAAGATCCTTACGTATATCTATAATTAATGCAGTGAAGTCCAAATACAGGGTGCTCAATGCTGACTGCTTTAATAAAGGTTGAAAAATGCACAATGCAAATATACAGTATATCAAAATGAAAAGCATTTAGGTGATTTGCATTCAAAGTCTTGACCAGTCTGGGATCTGCAGGTGACAGCGATCTGCTGGGATCTGCAGGCAGCCTCACACATCTTAAAGTGACAATAAAATTAAACTTTTTTTTCCCCCTTCCCAATCCTACTGTAGGGACTTACAAAATAGAAAAATAAAGTTAAATAAATAAAAAGTAAAATGTAAAACAATAAAAAAATAAAGTTTAATAAAAAATTAAAAATAGAAAAAAATAGAAAAAAGTTTAAAAAAATAAAAAGTGAAATAAACTAAAATTAAAAATCCCCCATATAATTAAAGGCCCCAACCCCTGCGAACACACACATTTAAAAAAAAAAAAAGAAAGGATTGCAGACGGTATGGAGCCACGCACAGCCACGAACAGAACAGCCAGCTGCAGATCTGTGACACACAAATTAGTAGAACAGGTAAAAGATAATCTGCAATGATGATCTGTGACAGTCCTGACAGCAGTGTTTCACATAATGAAGGGAGACAGCACAGTTACAATGCAATTCAATACAGGAGCATTAGGAGGGCCATACTTGTGAGATCTTACAATCTTGTTTTCCCACTAGGGCCATCGCTTGTCTAGGTGCCGCTATTGCTGCCAGCAACATCCCAACCAAATATGTTGGCAAAGTTCCAGATGACATCCTAGACATTAGATGAGTCGTTGTGGGTTCCTCAGCATGGTCAGTGGGGGTACTGTGAAGGAGTTGTGAAGCCACTCTTCTTCACCTAAGCCCGCATTCACACCTGTGTGTTCCAGGAACGTGTTAATGCGTGTTTGTGCACCATGCATTCTGCGTTTTTGGCTTCCGTGTTTGTGCGCATTTTAATGTGCATAAACGAGGAGTAAAAAGTGCATCTTCCTGGCCGCGTTTGGGGTACCATTAGAAATTAATGGCAACGCAAACGCATTTCACGTTTTGCAGCATTTCTATCAACACATGCCAAAGCGCATGGTTTTGTGTGCATTTTGCGCTTGTTCATAGAACCCGCAGGCATGAATGTGGGCTAAGCTCTGGTCAGGCTGTGTTACTTCCTGAGGTAATCTCTCCCTCATGAAGCTTGCAGCTTGTTGTTGTACATATACCTGCTACAAGCCCTTTACTTTATTACTAAATATTGACTTTTCTGTCAAAATGTCAGCAACGCATTTGCTGATCACATGTACCTCACTTTGTTCAACACAGCCACATCCACTGACAGCTTTTCTTGGCAACTGCAGGCAGACTTCTCACTGAAAGAAAAATACAAAAAGGCGGCAGACCAGCCCAAATTTCTAACTTCCTTTTAAACAATAAATTGGTTTGAAATAAAGTTATTAAAGCCGAACTGTGGGCAAGTTGCCAAATTTGATCTTTTGTATACTTCCTGCCCAACACATTAATATTTTATTTTTCAAAAAGGCCTCGTTTTATAATAAAGAACTTCGTGAAAGTCGCTGATGTCATCACTGTGATTTAGAAGTCATAGCTATGTCCACACTGTGGGAGGAGGTATTCAAGAATCCACCATGTCACTTCATTACACTGTGCAAGGCGGAGGGACAAAAACTACAATTTCTATCATTCAATGGGAAGTGTAGCCAACAGTGGAAGTGAATGTGGGGGTAATAGGGGTGTGAATATGGGTGTTTGTTTGTTTGTTGCCATCCACAATATGAATATATGAACATCACTACACACAGCTGGGCTGACCACA